TTTTCCAAAGTTTATCTGTTATAAGCATTCATTTTCCCATACATCCGTGATTTTAACCGATACGCAGACTGTCGTCGCAATTAAGAATGGCGCTCGGCTCTATTAACATTTCATCCTGAGGACAAGCTATAGTCAGTTTGTATTCCGGCAACCGTAGGGCTGCCTGACGCCTCGAGTCCCGAAATATATTTTGTAATTCTACGCTGCCCACATACATTCTGGACGACAATAATTGCTAAAGAGGCATTGCTATTAGTATCAATGTCTCAATTTATTGCACATTTGAATCCGGTTGTAAAGGGATGCTGCGTTTTCTTTAAGGGGGTCCTTGCATAGTAAGCGTCTTTTAGACAAAGGTATGAGAAAGTTCCGTCGGTACATTCTTGACTTTCTGATCACACTTGAAGTATTTACCGGCTCCGGATATCAGAACCGTCCGCTGCAGTAATGCACAGTTGAACGAGGTGGGCCGAGAATGATTAGAACGCACTAACAATTTGGCCTTAAACGGATAGAGCAACTATGAGAGCGATTAATTGTGTTTAAATACAACAAAACATTGACCGCACGCACTTATTTTTAGCTTAAAACGAACCTTTGATATATATAAGATTGATGTTGACTGGTAGATAACAAAGTCCGATGGGAGTGTCGTTAAACCACAACAAGTGCCAAAGACAGCGAATACGAAGGCGAGAATCATGCGGATGGACATCTACTACTACTACTACTACTACTACTACTACTACTACTACTACTACTACTACTACTACTACTACTACTACTACTACTACTACTACTACTACTACTACTACTACTACTACTACTACTACTACTACTACTACTACTACTACTACTACTACTACTACTACTACTACTACTACTACTACTACTACTACTATTGCTACTACTACTGCTGCTGCTGCTGCTGCTGCTGCAGGTTCAAGAGTCAGGGGCTTCTGTCAAACAGAAAAACTTTGTACGGGAAATTTATTAGAGGGAAGTCAAAAGTTGACCACTCTTTACGCAGCTTACGGGAATCCCCCCCCCCCCCCCCCCCCCCCCCC